ATTATTATTATTATTATTATTGAGTTTACAGGGTGGTTTTGCTGTTGTAAACACTACTGTTGCTGTTGTAGAAAAAAAATTTTTTCGGTCTTATTTAAAATAGAATTCTATTCTAATCCTGTTCTGAATTTATTCTTTTTTTTTAAATGATAATGATAATAAAAACAGGATTGATAAGTATAATTTGGAGGATGAGAAAATCAGTAGTGTTGTAATATTTTTTTAAGGCACTCTACGTTTTTTAAATAAATACTGTAATAATAATAGCTCAAAGTATTAATCATTTTTAGTCAGATAACATAAAACCCCTCGACGCACTTTAAACTTTTCCCAATCAAACAGCAAGAAAGAAAGAGAACAGGCACCTTTGTTTATAGGCTGCTGTACGTTAGCTGCATTTTTAATATTCAATAAATATTTAATTTTAATAAAATGTAAATTCATCCACCGCACTTTATTCGGGCTGGTGTGTTCACCTAGAAGTTTCTAGATTTAAATTCAAAGAGACAGTATCAATAGTTTATGCATGACCTGACGTTTTATTCATATCCAAAATTAAGAGATGCGAACATCAGGCGCTGAACACTCTCATGCAGTGCATGTTTCATTCATACTCAACCCAGAGGGCGCTCTTCCGCAGAAAGTCCAAAACAGACTCATAGAAGTAATAACTTATGATGTGCAGGAAATCCGGCTATAGCTGTAGCTGAGCTGAATAAAAAGCAGAAACGTTTTTACTGATGAAACGTGAAGAGTAAACACACAATTGCAAAAATATATGGTTTGTGTGTTTTTCAAGTTATGTCCAGATAATAAATAAACTATATGAATAATGTAGTACTGATCGATTGACATATTTAGTATAGAAACTATAAAATATATTTCCTGCCGTATTCTGTGAAAAAAATGAGAAATCCATAAACCAATAATAAAATTGTCATTAGGAAAATATTGAACAAAAATATTATAGCCCCTTGCTGCAGCTAACGTTACTTCCACAGGCTACACACACACACCAATATAAACAACAGATGTACATGCTCTCTTCACGATGTTCTTGTAAAATTATAATAATTTAATAATACAAGAAAACAAGCACACCGCTCCACTGAGAACTCTACTCACCGGCAGCCGCGGATGTTATTGAAGGCATCCAGATAGTACGTTAAATTACTAACGTGAGGGATCGTCCCGGATGAGATCGTCAGGTAAAAGGTCATCATGTGGATCATTTTATTTATTGGGCAGGCCTTCACAAAAGGGCGTTTAATTACAAAAAAAATTGCCTTGACAAAAGGGCACTTTGGGCATCAAGGGGAAAAGGGGTTGGTGCTCATGCACCCACCGCATCCCCCTCTGCACGTTCCTGCACACCACTGACAGTAACAGTGAATATCTTGTATAAAGTCTGTTTGCTGCTGCTGATTTTTACTGTATAGAGCAGGCATCCTCAAATCTGGCCCACGAGATCCATTTTCCTGCAGAGTTTAGCTCTAACCCTAATCAAACACACCTGAGTTTGCTAATCAATGTCTTCAGGATCATTAGAAAATCACAGGTAGATGAGTTTGATCAGGGTTGGGCATTGGCCCTCCAGGGCAAGATTTGAGGAACCCTGGTATAGAGTCTACAGTCTGTGGTTTTGCATATGCAGTTTTACAGTTGATTAGTTCATCTTATGGTTACTTCATAAAGCGTATGCAGATTAATATAAGTAATCAGTAAATCAAGAAATTGATCATGCTTTGACTTGTCTTGGAGCTGTAACTACTGGTGGAATGAAAATAAAAAATATCATACTGTGTCTTGTGTGAGTAAGATGTGAGTAAGTGTAAGAAGACTCCCGGGAAAAACCTGAGTGTTGAACAGCTGCCCATCGCCGTCTCAGATTTCGGAGACACACCGGCACGAGAATCAATACTTTTCAGGTTAAAAAGGATAACAGAGAACGGTTTAATACACTTGAATTAACATTTTAATTTTAAAAGTTATATTTTTATTTCTAAAATGCTTGATAAATGAGTTTAAATGCATGTAATATTGAAAATTATGCTGTATTCAATTTGTCTTATATTTTTGTACATGGGCGATTTAGCTTATTAATACATTTTCACCTTTTGCTTATTACTGTTGCGTCTAGTAGCTCTGTGTGTGTGTGTTTGTGTGTGTGTGTGTGTACTGGTTTATACATCCTGGTGGGGACTTAAACCTGACTACACACAGACTCATGGGGACTCGTGTCACGGTGGGGACCTAAATTGTGGTCCCCACGAGTACAAAAGCTTATATCACAAAAACAAACCTGAGTGTGTGTGTGTGTGTGTGTGTGTTTTTTTAATTTCCAATTTATTTTTGGTTCATTTTAAGCCAGCAATAGTAATTTTCAAACAACCCAGCGTGTTGGGTCAAACATTTAACACAAACCAGCCATTATTGTCCATATTTGACCCAGCGCTGGGTTGCCAAAATAACCCAAATTGGGTTGTTTTTAAGCATTTTTAGAGTGCGATTACGCCAAAATAGTATGCTGACGCCATACCCCAGCAAGTGATACATTTTGTAACAGCTTATGGAAGTGATTCTTCTTAGGCAATATATGTTAAAGACAGCATGTACATAGGAGACGTTGATATTCTTAAACCCAGTTGTACTAATAAATATAGGAATATTATAACAGGTGATACAGGTCAAAAGCATATTGTTTAGAAATATAAATTGGAATAAAGCTTGGCGTGTTTGTGAAATATACTGTTTAAATAATAAAGTAAAAGAGGCTATATTTAAAATGTTACATGGTATATGCAGTTAAAAGTGTGTTAGAGAGATTAAATCTGGATATTGATTATTACTGTGATTTATTAATTTTTTTTTGCTCAATGGAAAAGGAGTCTATATTATCCATATATTTTGTAATTGTGTCTACACAAGGATTTTTTTCGATATGGAACATGTCATTAGAAGGAAAACAAATATTACATTCAAGTTAAATAATTGTGATATATATGTATTATTCCAATGAAAGAAATAACAATAACTTTACGTTTTTTTGTACATCTTTTTATTATTTTGGGAATATTTCACATACATAAGAAGAAGGTCAGGGTCCAAGCCAAATTTCATCCATTTTCTTCAGGAGACTTAAGGACTACTGCACCAGTTTGGAGAACATTATTAATAAAAAAGCAAACAAGATTTGTAATATTTTCCACAAATATACAGTTGTTGATTACTGAATAAATGGTTTGGACACTCTTGTACATTACTGTTGTATATTTTGTTTTGGTTAATTAAAAAGAAGAAGAAGAAGAACCAGCACGCACTGCTTTGGTCTGCAGCGCTGCATAAAGTCGAACACACCTATTGATACCACAACATGATCGCTGTACCACCTGACCACTGCAGAATAATTTCGCAGTTGATAGTGTCGCCATCAGAGATGGCAAAACTACACACATCCTTCACTCAAGTAGAAGTACAGATACTCATGTTTAAAAATACTCTGGTAAAAGTTGAAGTACTGACTACACTTTTTAATGACAAGTATGGGATCTGACATGAACTTAAGTAAAAAGTAGCCATTACTACTACCTGTTTTAGTGTCACGTGGGTAACGGGAACTCACATCATATAAACACCTTAAAGGAATAGTTCACCCAAAAATGAAAATTAGCCCATTATTTACTCACCCTCAAGCCATCCTAGGCGTATATGACTTCCTTCTTTCAGATGATCGGAGTTATATTAAAAATTGTCTTTGATCTTCCAAGCTGTTTAATGGCAGTCAGCGGGTGTTGCAGTTCATCAGTCCAAAAGAAGTGAAATAAAGCACATCCATCCATAATAAAAAGGGCCTCACACGGCTGTGGGGAGTGAACAAAGGCCTCCTGTAGCGAATCGATGCGTTTTTGTAAGAAAAATATCCATATTCAAAATGTAATAATCACTTTAATCTAGCTTGCGCCAACAGTTTTACAATGAAGCAGCTCTGGGAGGATGACGTAAGATGTCGGCGTTGCGCATGCGCCGGTGAGTCTCGTGAAAACCAACGTTTGTTTACAGGAGCAAAGGAAGCAAAGTTTCCTTACTTTAGCAAAGGAAAACCAGTCTCCTCTTGGCTTATATCGAAATCCTCTGACATTCTTCTTTACAAATCCTCGTTTTGTACTTCTAATCCATGACCGTTGTTTTGTTTTGACCTGCGCTTCCACGTTCATCACTTCTGAGCGGCGCAACACCGACGTCCTACGTCATCTGCCCGGAGCTGCTTCTGTGTACAACAGTGAACGCAACTAGATTAAATTGATTATTACATTTTAAATATGGTTATTTTTCTTACAAAAACGCATCGATTCGTTGCAGGAGGCCATTGTTCACCCCCCACAGCCGTGTGAGGCCCTTTTTATTATGGATGGATGTGCTTTATTTCACTTCTTTTGCACTGATGAACTGCAACACCCGCTGACTGCCATTAAACCGCTTGGAAGAACAAAGACAATTTTTAATATAACTCCGACTGGATTCATCTAAAAGAAGAAAGTCATATACACCTAGGACGGCTCTAGGGTGAGTAAAACACAGCCAAATTTTCATTTTTGGGTGAACTAACCCTTTAATACAAAATAACTTACATTTCAAATTTTGTTAGCTAATAAATGTATCCAGGCTGAACAACCACCATGTAGAACAGGGCCGGACTGGGACAAAATTTCACTCATCCAGGTCATCCCATACACCCACAACAAATTCTGAAACCATGGACAACACTACATTTTTGTGTGGCCATCACATAAAAAAAGTTAAAATAAATAGGCTGGGCCCGTGCAAAATAACTACATTTTCTAAATTGCCTAAATGTCAAAATTAGTACAACAATAACTACACCATGACAATTTATTATAGAAAAATACTAATATTGAACATGTTGCATTATCATGAGTCATATTTTTCACTTATGAAAATTACCTATGACTTTATTATAGTAAAAGTATAGTAACCATAATTTTTAGTGGATTGATTACCATTTGTATAACCATGGTTTTACTAAAAAAATCCATAGTTAAACTATGGTTAGTGTAGGAAAACATAATTTGTTAACTTAGTAACCATGGTTTTATAACCATGGCTAATTTTCATAAGGGTTATCTGCCCTAGCTCCCTCTAAACCTATTATAAAACAATGTGAATAGTTGTCAGCAAAATTACTACTGTAACTTTACAACAGATAATAATGATGTCCTTTAGCATACAGTATTTTGAGTGATGATAGTAATGTGGTGCCACTGCTAACTGTTGCTAGCAGTTTAATGAGGGGGGGGTACTATGGATGTGAGGCCATTTGTGCATTTAGAGAGAGAGAGAGAGAGAGAGGACGCTGTACTGCTGAATCACTCACACTGTTTGTGAAATTACATCTCACAGAAAGTTTTAAAATGACTGAACTGCTCTGATAATCTGTTTGGATTCAACCTACATGCTATAGTGCAAAAATATTTTGTACAAAAAGAATTTACCACATTATAAACGCGAAACCTGCAGGAATGTGCAGAATAATGCGCAATAACCACGCCGAAATTCAGGCCCAGCTTAACTAAGTAAGCAAAAACTAAATTACAGTAGCATATTTACAGATGAAACTGACCTGCACTTGAAGTCCTAAACAGATCAGTAGTTTTGCCTCTCTGCTTCTCCATTCTCGAGGCTCTCGCACTGATTACTGTGATCAAAACCTTTTGGCGGAGGCGCGGAGCGCACGAGAATCAGAGCGTTGCCAGTCAAGACTAACCGATTCATGATTTATTAGAGATTTATTATTGAATGGTAAAAATACAGATTAAAACTAAAGTAACGAGCCTGGTTTGAAAATGTAAGAAGTAGAAAGTACAGATATTTGTGTAAAAATGTGAGGAGTGAAAGTAAAAAGTTGTCAGAAAAATAAATAGTGCAGTAAAGTACTGATACCAGAAAAATCTACTTAAAGGCACAATATGCAATTTTTCGCCGCTAGACGGCGCGTATTCAAAATAAAACAAAAAACAAAGGTTTGATGACACCGTGAGACACAGTGTGGAATCATGGGAGTTGTCGTCTTCATCCCCACAGCCGATGCAATCCGACGGGACTCGGGCAGAAATCATGTTCATGGATGAGCTAATGATTTATTAACGTAGTAGAATGAAGCAGGGTGAGGCTGAAAGCCGTCGAAGTGAAACGAGGCTGCTAAACGAGTGTGACACACGGCTCGAAAGCAGCGGAGCTTTTATTATGCCTTCTGCTCTTTCCGGTCGTGCGTATGTGGGGAAAAAAAGCAGCACTGTTTTATCATACTAGATACGTTTGAAAGTTCTGTTATAATGCTACTCTGTGCGGTCGTCACCTGTCTAATAAAACGCATAACATATTAAAGCTTCTTTGGTGTTTCCATGTTTTCTACAAAACAAAACCACGGTCCGTGTCACTAGTTAAAATAGCTTATTTCTCTAGATTTAAACATTCTTTGAAACATTTGGGATAATGTAAGTACACAAGTCAGCAAAATATATAACACTGTTCAAGTAATTTTTGGATATTTTAATAAAAAAATCTTACATATTGTGCCTTTAAGTACAGTAACGAAGTATTTACTTCTCATCTCTGGTCGTTATATTAGGCTACCTTAATTATTATGACATGGCGTGAATGCAGCATTCAGCTCATCCAACCCCAATCAAACACACCTGAACAAGCTAATCAAGGCCTTCCAGTCAGATTACTAGAAAACTACAGACAGATGAGTTTGATCAGGGTTGGAGTTGACCTGATCTCCTTGGATCTTTAAAACCCCATTTTACAGAGGTT